TAGGTATCAGGTAAAGGTTCCAGGAATCAATTGATTGTCTGTGGAGCTGAACTTGTACATTTTTATTGTTCTGTAAAGAAGAAAATGAAAAGTTTGTGATAATGAGAAGCTCAACCGATTAAGTAGATCTTTGCCTGCCCTGCCCTTCCCTCCCCTTCCAAATTTTTAAAATTTAATCTTGAAAAACATTACAATTAACATTTCTTTTTTAAACATGATGTGATATGTGATGTGATATATGTGATATAACACACACACATACACACTAAATAGCAATATAACAGTATGATTTATCACTGTGATCTAAAAGAACTATATCATTTTTAAAAAGAACCAAATGTATTACATAATTAAAAAACCCAATATTTTGAAGCAGCCCCCCTAAAACTCTATATAAACTACCTAACCCTCCCAAAAAACAAAGAGAAAAAACAATAATCAAAAAATGCAAAAGAAAAGCCTAAACTAAACTAGGAGGTCAAGATAACAAAGTAAAATACCTAAATCCCCATTTTTTTATTGAAAGATGGAATTGGGAGATTCTGCCCTTGATTTGGCCTTAAGTAAGAAATGGATAAATATCTGAATATTTCTGTTGTCCAGCTCTCCAAAAGTTTGTCTAGAAAAGGACAGATTTATCATATTACTGCTATAAAAAATTGGTTACGTAGTAGAATTGTGCTCTGTAATATAAATTATGGTACAGTTAAAGCTTTAGCTCTGCTTTAGTTTTCAAACTCTTTTTAAAAAAAAATTAGCGCAAACCTATACACTTGGTGCTGGTCAGTTTTTTCCTTATTTGACGGCAAAACTTACGTTTGATCCAGATGGTGCAGAAAAAAAATTCTTGTGAGACAAACTCTTTAAAGAACTGAAAAGTCAAATATGAAAAAATCATGAATAGACTTAGTTGTGATTTATTATTTATTGGTTAGTGATCATTTAAAGTAATGAAGTAACAGTCCTTTTATAATTCGTGTTTTCTTTCCATTACGGTTTAGGGGTCATCTTGGCTTGAGGGCAGTTCCTGTATTGCATTTTCACTATCTCTTCTGAAATTCCTTGGGGTAGTAGTGTTTTTAAATTTCTAATTTATTTATTTGTTTGTGTGTTTGTTCTGTATTTTTCTTTTTAAAGCCATTTTTAATTTTCTTATTTTTTCACTTTTTCTATTTATAGTTTTTCATATTTTCTACTTCTTTAACAAGTTTGTCTCATATGATTTTTTAATCTTTTTTTCTTCGGGATCTTTGGAACTCTACTATTTTAATAATAGAATCTTGAAAACTTGCTAGAGTATCCCTGCATCGCCTCTTATACCGAACAGAATCAAAGCAGGGTTATCTTGAGTTTCTTTCTCACCCTTTCTTCTTTCCCAGGACTGAATTGATGTTTACTCAGAGGTTCCTGCATCCCTTCTTTAAGATTACCTTTGTACTGCTCTGTACCTCTGCGGCTTAGCTTTTTTCAGCTTACTTTAGGCCATGACATTCTGCCAAGGATTGAATCTCGCAGTGTCAGTCAGTACCTATCTGTACTGAGTCTTATTGCTCATTGGACTTGCCTCAGTTTGCTAACAGCCCAGTGGCTCCCCAACAGCAGACTGGCAATCCAGGAGGATCTTCTTTCCAGTTTCCGAATCTGCAGGGTCCATAACATCACAAACATCCTTCGGTTTTGAAAGTATTTGGAAGAGGAGTATTCACTCAGCAAATGTTATACAATAATAAACTTTTTTAAATTTTAATTTATAGTAGACTCATTCATACATTTGCTTCCAAGTGGCAAGATACTTGCATGTTCTGGCTTGTACTTTAGTTTCATTCAAAACTCTAACCTGTGAGGATTATTCTTCCGCATTTGCATTCCCAGTTGAACAACTCATACCTAAATCATGCAGCCTTTGCTGTTAGGTGTGTTTGTGTGTATTTCCATGGTAAGCCCATTGAATCCAATCTGTGCACTGATGTACTTAGTTCTCATTGGCTCATAATCTCATTGAGCCCCATTGATTCCATGTGGAACAAAGTGAATTTAACATAGCCTGAATTTGACAATTCATTTTAAAAAATTATTTCATATGTTTGTTTGCTTTGATTTTTTTCTTACAGTTATTCTGTTGGGTTGTGAAATTGACCTTTCTCTAATTTATTTTAACATTGATGTCAGACTCTGAAAAGAATAGGGGGCTTCAATCCTAGCTTTAGGAAAAGATACTAAAGGGAGGAAGAGAAATTTAAGTGCATGCAAGACTTTTATCAGTTTAATGCTTCAAGCACAGTTTACCAGTAACATTTTATTCATTTGAGTATTTCAATTTCAATTTTATTTCGGTCATAGACCAGCATAGAACTAATTACATAACAATTATTCTAAAACAGAAACAGAAATAAAAAATCATATTGATAAAATAAAATAAGGTAAATATAAATTTATTAATGTAAAATTAATGTCTTTGTCAGTTCTTATTTGGATGTAAGTATTGTTATGCAGCATTTTAATGATTGCTAACAAGCGTCTGTCAATAGAAGATTTCTCCAGTTTCGACCACAGTTCTCTGGAGACTGAGTCAAAGACTGTTTTAAAATCATTTGAGTAAAGGACTCCTTTGAGTTCTGTGCTGTAGCCTTTCAAACACAGTTCATATAATTTCTTGCAACTGTCTTATATCTTTCTTTGGATACCCGCGTCTCCTTTGATTTTCTATATGTCCTTTTTTCTATTTGGAGTTTTAGAAAACTTGATGTGTCTCCATACCATATCTTTAGATGTTTCCCATTTTTCCTTTGTAGGAATTCTTTATAAAGAAACAGTCTTAATATATATCTTGTTTGTTTCAGTAAAAATGTAATATTTGCAATGGCCTTCCATTGCTAGAAAGTCAAATTTCTTGAAACAAAGATTTTTGATGCATGTGCCTAATTGTATGGATTTACCTTTGATTCTGAATCATTTTGATAATTTGATAAAGTGGCAAACGTGTAGGGAAAGCAAGCCTGAAGGAAAGTAGAATTTCTATAAGGTATTTGGAATCTTAGGCTCATTATTTAATTTAAAAAAATGTTCTCCCATGTTGGAAAATTTTTGGCATGGTATTGGAATCCTTTTCCTATCGAGTGCTGAGTTAGATATTCTTCCAAATATATCTTGGATATCAGTGTATATCTTGGAAAAGGACAAAGGGACCAGCAACTTTAGCAACACTTCTTAAATGGCAAGGAATTCATACTATTGGTACACTGGCTACCAATGTAAGCAGCCGAAGCATGTAAATTTACAGCATACTTTTCCCATTCACTGGAAATTACCCAGAGGTTGGGGATAGAGCTGGAAGTGGGATTGAGACTTTTTTAGACACTACTAATCCTTAGCACCATCCTGCCTGCTAGACAGAAGCTAGCAATGTAGCTGAAAACAGCAGTGCTGTTTGAATGTTCACTGAGCTTGAGCTGGATCATAGGTAAGCCAGCTGTAGAAACATTGCCTGTAAGTTTCAAAGCCACTCTTCATATGTTCTCTCTCATGGCCCACTTGATTCCCCTTTCCTTTTTTATATTAAATGTGTTTAATGCTTTATGTTTGATAAATTAGATTGATCTAATTAGAGAATTAAATCATTTGGTGTTTTATTGTCATGTATGGAGTTAGGTTGTGTAAAAGATTTCACTTTCTGGTACTATGGAAAGAGAAATAGATTTTTCAGCTAAGGCAATAATACTCATGTACAAGAGTATATTGTCCTACTGGCATATAGCAGGGGGAAAAATAGTCCCAAAATCATTACAGTTATGTAGCTATATTTAATGTAGACCTGTTTTTGTAGTTAATCTTATGCCTTTGTAATTACTTTTCTAGTGAGAAATTATATTATTTAAATGAATATGTAGAGTCCCTGTAACATTTACAGTCCTATTATTTTTCAGTAGTAACTTATTTTCACATGGTAGATTTATGGAAGTGAATTGTATTCAGTATAACTGCTTCACAGTTATATAATGGTGCCTGGTTGACTGGTAAAATGTAGATAGAAAAACTCCTTCAAATTGTGTGTTTATTCAGTTTCAAGAACAGTTGCTACAATGGAACCACTGTATTTTTAACAATTTTTTAACCAAAATATCCCATGTGCTAGTATCACCTCAAAAATCTAATTAGGTTGACTGTAGTATTTTAATGAATGTGCCTGTTCTGCCAGCCCTAGGGAAGAACAAACTGGACAATCAAATAATTGACAGCTTGAATACTTCTGAATAATGATTCTGATAATGGAATGGAAGTTTCAAATTTATTAAATTAAATACACTTACTTTTAGACAGTATTTATTGTTTCTTGATGACAAATTTTATGTTTGGCTTATTTTAAGTAATCAGCACAGCATTTGTATCTGAAACACTAGCCTGTGTGTGTGAAAAATGAACAGATGTGCATTTGTCAATATCTTCAACATAAAACAAAAGAGCGCATTACAATCTTATACCTGGTATTGGTCTATTTTTAACACAGTTGAAAGAGTTTCTTTTAAAAAAAAGTATAACAAACCCACTTTTATTATTTTAGGTATCTAGTTCTTTATATATTAACCTCACCCCAGATGGTTTAGAAGAAGAACACACATATACATATTGACATGAATAAGATTATTTCATTTTAGAGGTTTGGTGGTTTTATTGGTAAAGCTCAGATTCATTCTGATGATTTGTTTTATGGCTTAACACCATAGAATCCATTAATATTCACTGGTATTTCTAATTAAGCTTTCTTGAACTTAGTGCTCTCAAGATGTGTTGGAATCACAATTTCTAGGATTCTCAGCAACCATATTGTAGTCCTGTTCCATACATATACTGTAGAAGGCATCATTTCAATGCTAGTCAGTTTTGAGCGACTATGTGGAAGTAAACGTGTTTTTAGAGAATGCTGCAACTAAGCTTATTTGAATGTATGCCATATTGTTCTTTTTATGTCCAGATGACAATACTAATTATATTCTCTTTTTTAGCATACAACTCATGAATTGATTCTGGTTGAAGATGAGGTGACAGACACTGAGGACAATGAAGAGGACGATTTAGGAGTCATGGAAGATCAGCGTAGTATAATCCTTCATCTTATCTCACAATTGAAACTTGGGATGGATCTAACCAGGGTATGTAGCTTAGCCCTTTTTAGAAATTAAGTATGTTTTGTTTCAAACTTTCTTGTTTGACTTTGCTGCGTATCTGTGATGCTTGCTGTCATGATGTTTGTTGCTTTCTAGTTTTTGCTTCAGATCTATCTATCTATCTATCTATCTATCTATCTATCTATCTATCTATCTATCTATCTATCTATCT